GTCCTGTGCGGACGTACCCGGCCTCAACGTCGGCCTGGGTTCGAACAGGTCAAAATCTGTTCGAAAACAAAAGAAAAGGTCCAAACGTTTTTAGGAGCTCAGCCTCTGGGCCTGAATCTGGCCCTGGCCCTAGAAGCGTGTACCTGGCCACAAAACGGACAACAGTACAMCCGTTAGAAAAACAGCAGCAAATAAATAAAATAAAGACTATAAAAATAATCTCAAGCTGGCGTTTTTCTGATGCAGGCCCAAGTAAAAATGCCATAGGGCCTTCAGGTTGCGGTGACGCGACCTGGGGGCCCTATTCCAACCTCGGGTCCCGTGAGGGGCCCGTGTGTAGGCTTTCAGCATGTAACAGTGTGTGTGTGTGTGTGTGTGTGTGTGTGTGTGTGTGTGTGTGTGTGTTATTGATTTTCACCACAACAGCCCCAAGATCCAAAATCCATGCCGATTTACCTCTGCTGTGTGTCTGTGTTTGTTTGTGTGTGGGCAGAAGTGGGCATGCAAGCATGCGTGGGTCTGTGGATCAGTGGGTGCATGCATTTGTGTGTGAAGTGGAAAGGAGGGGATCCAGCACTCTGTTTCTTTTTCATTTACAGGTGTGCCCTTTTTGCCCATGTTACATCACCATATTTAGTATTTACACACATCCCAACATACTGCAATCTTGAGGTGTGAAAAAAAGGGTCATCTTGTGGTCGACTGCACAGAAACAAAAACAGTGAAAAAAAAAAAGCGCGATGACGCATGAATCTCTTCCCCTTTGACAGCCAGATACACACATGTCGCTAAGAAAAAACCATGCAATGAGCAAATCTCTGTCCCTTTTGCCAGATGCACGCATGTTTCTTTTCTGCAAAGTGGCACACAAGAGACGAGCACGTCAGAAAGAAGAAGCTCCCCTTTCCCAATCGTCCGTCTACATTTTCCCCTATTTTGATAACATTTTCAAATTTCAATGTCTTCTCACGTCAGGCAAAAATCCATGACAGAGATTACTTTTACCTCAGCGAGTAGCAAGAGAATGCAACAATGGAAAGACGCAACAAACCGAATACAAACTGCAGTGGCATGCATATGATAGACTAATCACACGACCCACGGCAAGCCAAGCATTTTTCGGCTCGCTGTGAGACACCGAAGATAGTAGTCCTGTAGCTTGAAATGATACCATATCAACCAACACACACTCGAAGAAAAACGTTCGCCAAAGCAAAACCACATGAAGTCAAAGACACATCAACCAAAACTCGAAGAGAAATGTCGACCAAGGCCTATTGAAAACACGGTTCATCCCACGTGTAACGAGCCAGTAAATCTTTTTTTTTTTTTTTAATTAAAAAAAACACATCCCCTGCAAGCTCAAATCTATTACAAGCTCTACACCTCGTGATATACTTCAAATCTTTTACAGGCTGCACACCTGATCTCTCTCTCTCTC